CATGTGCCACCATGGCCAGCTAATTTTGTATTTTTAGTACAGATAGGATTTCACCACGTTGGCCAGGCTGGTCTCGAACTCCTAACGTCGTCAGATGATCTGCCCACCTCAGGCTCCCAAAGTGCTGGGATTACAGGCATGAGCCGCTGCACCCAGCCCCACAGCCCCATCTAAGCCTCCACCCTGCCATCCTGTTCCTCAGAAAGCACATGCTCTGTGGAGGGAGCCAGCAGGGAAGTCTTGCTCCCCACCTCTACCTCCATCCCAATCCCAAGTCCTGGGGATGTGACAGGTGGGGCAGGAAGTCCAAGTGGGCCATGTCCCCTGTGGAGCAGCTGAGCCTCCAACTCCTGAGCTAGGCCACCCTAGTGTCATTTGCCATCCATGCTCAAATGTTTTCATCCACCTTTCTTTCTCTTTCTTTTCCTTCCTTCCTTCCTTTCCCTGCCTCCCTCTCTCTCCTTCCTTCCTTCTTTTCTCTCTCTCCTTCCTTCCTTCCTTCTTTCTTTCCTTTCTTCCTTCTTTCTTTTCCTTCTTTCCTTCTTTCCTTCCTTCTTTGTTTCTCTTTCTTTCTCTCTCTCTCCTTCCTTCCTTCTTTCTTTCCTTTCCTTTCTTTTCCTTCCTTCCTTCCTTCCTTCCTTCCTTCCTTCCTTCCTTCCTTCCTTCCTTCCTTCCCTTCCTCCTTTCTCTCTCTCTCTCTCTTTCCTTTCTTTCTCACTGTGCTGCACAGGCTGGTATACAGTGGCACGATCACAGCTCACTGTAGTTTTAACCTCCTCGGCTCAAGTGATCCTCCCACCTCAGCTTCCTGAGTAGTTCAGACTACAGGGGAGCACCATTATACCTGGCTAATTTAACTTTTCTTTCTTTCTTTCTCTCTCTCTTTCTTTCTTTTCTTCTCTTTCTTTCTTCTTTCTTTTCTTTCTTTTTTCTTTCTTTCTTTCCGTCTGTCTGTCTTGTTTTTCTGCCTTTGTTTCTCTTTCTTTCTTTTTTTTGACAAGATCTTACTATTTTGCCCAGGCTGGTCTCAAACTCCTGGGCTCGAGTGATCTCCTGCTTGGCCTCCCCAAAATGCTGAAATGACAGACTTGAGCATCTAGCCTCCCGTTTTCTCTTAGAGCTTCTTTCCCACATACCTTGTTCCTAGAGAATAAAAGCTATTGTTGGACCCAAATCTCAGTAGCCTACAACTGCTCCTGTCTGCCCAATGCTCCCCAACCGTGGTGGCAGTGAAAGCCTCCCAGTGAGCATGTGTTTTTCTTTCTTTCTTTCTTTCTTGCTTGCTTGCTTGCTTGCTTTCTTCTTTCTTTCTTTCTTTTCTTTCTCCTTCCTTCCTTCATTCCTTCTTTTCTTTTCTTTTCCTTTTCTTTTCTTTTCTTTTTTTTCTTTTTTGAAATGGAGTCTTGCTCTATTGCCCAGTCTGGAGTGCAGTGATGCAATCTCTGCTCACTGCAACCTCCACCTCCTGGGTTCAAGCAATTCTCCTGCCTCAGCCTCCCAAGTAGCTAGGATTACAGGTGCCTACCACCATGTCTGGCTAATTTTTGTATTTTTAGTAGGCACAGGGTTTCATCATGTTTGCCAGGCTGGTCTCGAACTCCTGACCTCAGATGATCTGCCCACCTCAGACTCCCAAAGTGCTGGGATTACAGGCGTGAGCCACAGTACCTGGCCATGTTTTTTTTTCCCTCACTGCAGAGACAAAGGGGGCTACTGCTGGTTCTGGTGCATTCATGTATCCAAGTCCTGACATGTCTCAAGGGCATCACTGTGCTTGCTAGGGAGGGAGGGCCCAGTCCCTCCACTGGTTATTCCTATGCATCCCCTGGGACTTCCCTTGGCTCACCCTGCCCCCGACAGGCCCCTCTGCTCGTTGGCCTGAAGGAACTGGGTCTCTGAGCCTGGAGGAGATGGCCTTTGCCCCACCGCCCTCGGACTGTCCTGGGTGGGAAGGAGAACAGTTTTGCCTGAGAAACTTGTAGTGACGGGCCTTGCCTCCTGCAGCCCTCCACCTGTATCGTCCTTCCTGTGCCCTCCTTGTCTTCACCAGGGCCATGCCATCACCCATGAGGGCTCTGATGTTACTAGGCAAAGGCCTGAGTCTGAGCAGAGCAGGGTGGGGCAAGCTCCAACCCACAGTCTACCCTGTTATCAGGAGCTCCATGCTGTCCGGAGACCCCGACACACACCTTAAGCCAATTTTCCTTCATCCCTAGAAAAACTGTGTGCCACCAAATGGGGAGGAAATGTATCTGCTTCCCTTCCTCCTACCCCCAGGGAACTCAACCAGGAAGATACTGCTGTTTGGCTTTAAAAATAGTATATTCTAGCGGGACTTTTATGGTCTTGTGAAGAACACTATGCTCATGCCCTCCCACACCCGGCCTCTGCCCCTGCCTGGACCCGGCCAGCTGCCCACAACAGCTCTGCACAAGAGCCTCAGGGTCTCTCTGCAGAGGCTTGGTTCCAGGCAGATTTATGAGTTCAGCCTTGGCTGAGGCCTTCTCCCCATGGCTCCCGGCCACATTCCAGCTGTTCTCCCACATCCTATGCAGCTCGGGGCTGGGATGTTCTG